GCGGTCGTCGGTGCCGTCGTAGGCGTAGGCGTAGGCGTTGGCCTCGGCATTGGCGTGGACGCCGGCATCCTCGGAGCTGATGTGACGCTGGTCTCGGCGCAGGCGCGCGTGCTGGAGTAGGCGGGGGCGTCGGCGCCGTCGCAGGCGTTAGCGTTGGCGTAGGCGCGGATGGGGCTGGCGAGGGCGCTGGCTGCGGCGCCGACGTCCTGTCTGGAGCCCTCCTCCTCCTCCTCCTCCTCCTCCGCCCCTGCTCCACCTCCGCCTCCTCCGCCTCCTCGGCGGCGTCGGCGTTGGCGTGGGCGCTGGGGATGGTGCTGGCGGCGTTGCCGCAAGCGCTACGTTGTAGGAGGCGCAGGCGTTGCCGTAGGCGCCGGCGTTGACGCTGGCATAGGCGTGGGCGCTGGTCCATGTGGCTGGCGCCGGCGCTGGCGGAGGTGCTGGCGTGGTCCCAGGCGGCGGTGCTGGCGTCGAAGCTATAGCTGGTGTAGGCGCCGGTGGGTGGTGCCGGCGTGGACGCTGGCGGTGGTGCTGGCACCGGCGTCCTTGGCGTCCTGTTGGGAGCCCTCCTCCTCCTCCGCCGCCTCCTCCTCCTGCTCCTCTGCCTCGACCTCGTCCTTATCCCCCTCCGCCTCAGCTTCCTCCTCCTCCTCCACCTCCTCCTCCTCCTCCTCCTGCTCCTCCGCCCTCTGCTCCACCTCCGCCTCCTCCGCCTCGTCGGCGGCGTCGGCGCTGGCGTGGGCACTGGGGATGGTGCCGGCGGCGTTGCCGCAAGCGCTGGCGTTGTAGGAGGCGCAGGCGCTGCCGTAGGCGCCGGCGTTGACGCTGGCATAGGCGTGGGCGCTGGCGTAGGCGTAGGCGCAGGGGTCCATGTGGCTGGCGTCGGCGCTGGCGGAGGTGCTGGCGTGGTCCCAGGCGGCGGTGCTGGCGTCGAAGCTGGTGTAGGCGCCGGTGGTGGTGCCGGCGTGGACGCTGGCGGTGGTGCTGGCATCGGAATCCTGGGCGTCCTGTTGGGAGCCCTCCTCCTCCTCCGCCGCCTACTCCTCCTCCTCTGCCTCGACCTCGTCCTTATCCTCCTCCGCCTCAGCTTCCTCCTCCTCCTCCACCTCCTCCTCTGCCTCCGCGCTCTCCACCCCCTCCTCCCCTTCCTCAGCCTCCTCGAAGGCGCCGGCGACGCTGCTGACGTAGGCGCTGGCGGCGTTGTTGGCATGCTTATTGGTGCTCGGGATGCTGCCTGCGTCGTCTGAGCTGGCGTCGGTGCTGGTGCGGGCGCCGTCGTACGTGTTGACGTAGGGGTTGTCGGCGGTGCCGTCGTCGGAGCAGTCGTCGGTGCTGGTGTAGGCGGCGGCGTTGGTGCTGGCGTAGGCGCACTCGGCCGTGCCGTCGCAGGCGTCGGCGCTAGCGTTAATGCCGGCCTCGTTTGAGCTGGCGTCGGTGCTCTTGAAGGCGCTGGCGTTGGTGCTGGCGTAGGCGCACTCGTCGGTGCCGTCGCCGGCGTCGGCTGTGGCATGGGTGCTGGCCTCGTCGGCGCTGGCGTCGGTGCTGGTGTGGGCGCCGGCGTTGGTGCTGGCATAGGCGCACTTGTCAGCGCCGTCGCAGGCGTCGGCACTGGCGTGGGTGCCGGCCTCTTCGGAGCTGGCGCCGGTGCTGGTGGAGGCGCTGGCGTTGGTGCTGGCGTAGGCGCTCTCGTTGGGGCCGTCGCAGGCGTCGGCGCTGGCGTGGGTGCCAGCCTCGTCGGAGCTGGCGTAGGTGCTGGCGTCGGCGCTGGCGTGGGCGCCCGCGAGCTTCCTCCCCGCCGCCGCGCAGCCCGGGCAGGCGGGAGCGATCGCGGAGCCCCGAGCGGGGTGCGACCGGCGCCTGCTTAGATGGGTGTGAAGTTATAAGTAGTAATAATATAGGTAAGTGGTTCTATTTTAGGAAAGGCTTGGGTGAGTTAGGATTGGTTAGGAGGCCCAATAGGTTCCATCGGAATGCCGATAGTGTAGTCCCCGATAGTCCCCCCTGTGTTTCACTATAGGATCTATAGGAGCTTACAGTGTCCTATCATCAGCTGAACTTGGATTCCCTAAGCATATGTATTGTTTCATTATTGTTTTACTATTTTTCATTACTCTTTCACTATTTTTACTATTTCTCACTATTGTCACTATCTATCATTTTCAACTATTTTTCACTATTTTCACTATTTTTCATTATGTGTTTCTTACTTTTTCTTTCCTTTTTCAAAATTCAGACATTGAAACAAGTCTGACCGACGCCAGAACGTTGCGCTCCAAGGGAGAAGAAGGAGAAGGAGGAGAAGGAGGAGGGAGGAGGAGGTGTTCACCTCCTTCCTCCTCCTCCTCCTCCTCCTCCTCTTCCTCGTCCCCCTCCTCCTCCTCCTCCTCCTCCTCCTCCTCCTCCTCCTCCTCCTCCTCTGCCCCCTCCTCCCCTTTCCTCCTCGGCGCCCCTCTTGGGGCCTCGGCGCCCCCTTGGTGCTGGCACTCCTGGGCCTCGGCACCCCCAAATCCGAAGCTCCGAAGCTCCTCCCATTCCTCTTCCTCCTCCTCCTCTTCCTCCCCCTTCTCCTCCTCCTACCCCTCCTCCTCTATCCTCTTTCCCCTCCTCCTCCCCCTCCTCCTCCTCCCCCTCCTCCTTCTCCTCCTCCTACCTCTCCTCCTCTATCATCTTTCCCCTCCTCCTCCTCCCCCTCCTCCTTCTCCCCCTCCTCCTCCCCCTCGTCCTCCCTCTCCCCCTCTTCCTCTTCCTCCCCCCCCCCTCCTCCTCTATCCTCTTGCCGCTCCCCCCCCGCCCCCTCCCCCCCCCCCCTCCGCCCCCCCCCCCTCCTCCTCCCCCGTCCCCCCTCCTACTCTCCCAGTGGCCAGCCCTCAGTGGCAGCAGGCTGGATGTTAGCTGGATGTTGTCTGGGTGCTGTTGACATTATTTCTTGTAGGGCGGGCGCCAGACAACACCAGACAACGCAACAACAACACAAACACAACAAAAAACAACAAACAACATCATCATTTTTTTTTTTTTTTTTTGGTTGTTGTTTTGTTTTGTTTTGTTGTGTTGTTGTTTGGTTGTCTGGTGTCGGCTTCTCTTGTTTTTTGTGTGTTTGTTTTTCCTCTTCTGACTATTGTTACCCCCACCCCCCGCCCTCCGCCACCTCCCTCATCCGTTTCCTCCTCCCTCCTCAGCGGGCCAACCGCTTTGCGTTCGCTTCCCTCCTGCCTCCCCATTCTGCTCCTCAGCGGCCCAACCGCTTTGCATGGGAGGAGGAGGGGGGGGAGGAGGAAGAGGAGGAGGAGGAGGAGGAGGAGGAGGAGGAGGAGGAGGAGGAGGAGAAGGAGGAGGAGGAGGACAGGATAACGATTTCGTCGCAGCCGTTTTTGGCTTCAAGTTTTTGTGAATTCGCCAACCGAATGCGAGAATTCGTTAAATGGCTGCCTGGGATGCTCGCTGCGCGACGTGCGGCGCCCTCGGCCCCGCAGCCAACATGGACGTGATTAACAACGAAAGTTCTGAAGCGGCCAAACCGCTGCACTGTACAACTTGCAATGTAAAAGCGGTATGCCGCTGCGGAAAGTCAGGGGAGAAAGGGGGAGAAGCAAGCTGGTTTGTGATTTTTCTTAGAATTGGCTATTTTTTCAATTTCACTATTTGTTTCACTATTTTTTTTCATTATGTTTCCATATATTTTTTTTACTTGTTTTAGTATTTAACACTATTGTTTTCACTATTTGTCACTATTTTTTGTTTTTTAAAAATATGTTTCTTATTTTTTCGTGCATGTTGATAGGGTCCTATAGTGCACGTTAGCTATGTTTTGTAAATCCGCACCCATCTAAGTGAGGGGGGGGCCGGGGAGCCCAGCGCAGACCGTTTTTTTCGCCCGGCACAAGAAACGGTGTGCCACCAGGGACCTCGCCGAGGGCTCATGATGAGGGCCCAGTCGGTGCTAGTGTAGGCGTCGGCGTTGGTGCTGGCGTAGGCGCACTCCTCGGTGCTCTCGCAGGCGTCGGCGCCCCCCGCGGCACCTTCGCCTGCGTCGATGCTGTCTCGCTGCTCTCGGCGGTGCTGCCGGGGTCCGTCGTGCTGCTCCTCGGCGGCGCTGCTGGTGGAGCCCGCCGTGCTGCTCCCGGTGCTGGTGCTGAAGCCCGTCGTGCTGCTCCCGGTGGTGCTGCTGGGATCCGTCGTGGTGCACTCGGCGGTACTGCCAGAGGCCGTCCCGCTGCTCTCGGCGGAGCTGCTGGAGTCCGTCGGGTTGCTCGCGGTGCCGCTGTTGGTGCTCGTCGTGCTGCTCTCGGCGGTGCTGCCGGAGTCCGTCGTGCTCCCGCTCTCGGCGGTGCTGTTGGCATCCGTCGTGCTGCTCTCGGCGGGGCTGCTGGAGCCCGTCGTGCTGCTGGCGATTCTTCTTCTTGCGGCGGAGGAAGGCCAAACCCTGGAAGACGGGACCCCCCTGGGGGTCATGTCTTCCAGGGTTCGTCTTGTCTCCCAGGTTCTGTCTCCCTGGGTCGGGCTCTGGGCCCGGGGCCACTGTCGTCTGGTGGCGTTGCCGAGGTACCTGTCGTGCTGCTCTCGGCGGTACTGCTGGAGCCCGTCGTGCTGCGCCGGTGGCTGCTGCCGGGGCCCGTCGCGCTGCTCCCGGTCGTGCTGCTGAGGACCGTCCTGCTGCTCCCAGCGCTTCTCGGTGCCCTCGCAGGCGGAGCTGGCGGCGGTGCTGGTGTAGGCGTCCGCCGTCTTCGCCTCCTCCTCCTCCTCCTCCCCGTCTGCTGGCCGCTCCCCGTCGGGTTGCTGTTGGAGCCCTCGCTGTCTCTCCTCCTCCTCCTCCTCCTCCTCCTCCTCCTCCTCCTCCTCCTCATCCGCTGCTGGATGGGGTGCTGGCGGTGCTGTTGCCTCTTCCCGCCTCCTCTCCCTCGCTCCCAGCTCCTGCTGCGCCGGCGGGCGGGCCCCCGAGGTGGGGCCGCGCCCGTTCCACGGCACCAGAAGCACGGCGGCAGTCGGCTAGAGGCCGGCGTCTCCTGTAGCGGGCGTCCGCCAGGAGGTCGGCGAGGTGCGGCTCGTCCCCGTCGACGGCCAGGGTGTGCGGCGGCAGCTCCAGCAGCGTGGCCGCGAACGCCCTCGACCCGATGAGCTCGGGGTAGGTCGCTTCCTTCCGGCCCCGCGCGACGGCGAGCTGGACTCCGTCCTCGTCCGCAGCCCAGAACTGCCGGCCGTGCGCCCGTTCGTGCGTCGGCGGTGGCTGGGCGCCCTGCGCAAAGTCGTGCCAGTTGGGCGCGGCGAAGCCGTGTGTCGAGAGCCCCGAGCCGGGGTATGCCTTGGACCTGTTGCAGGGCTGGGTGTTGCCCCAAGGCAAACAGGGCTGGCATGAGCGGGTCTCCTTGCTCTCCTCTGTCCGCCTGGTCGATCGCGTGCCCTTGTCCCGCGTCGTCGTGCCACCACTACTGCGACTTTTCCCCGTGGAAGAAGCGGCAGAAGGGAAGCAGCGCGCTACCCCTGCCCAGGTTTGCGAAGCCTTCGAGCATCGAATTTTTGGACACGAGGTCGGGCGCCCCGATTTCGTCTGCGGAAACCACCGTGGCAGCCGAGTCGCCCCTGGTGAGAGTCTGCGCGAGGTGCGCCACGCATTCTGTGCCTGCTCCGGTCGAGAAGTCGAACTGGATGGGGGCAGTCGCCTGCTCGACCTCTTCGTCCACTTGCTGCGCCAGTGTGAGGGCCACCAGCCGCCTGAAGACATCGCCAGTCACGATGCCTCGCGCCCTCCTGTTGCTCTTGCGCAGCGCCGTGAGGCGGCCGAGCCGGAGGGCCTCTGCCACGGGGCGAGGAGTTTCCGCACCCGCGAGGCGCGTGGCAGCGCGGTGCAGGAGGTCGCAGCAGTGCCAGTCGTCCAGCAGCGTCTGCAGGTGTGCTCCCGTCGTCATCCCTGAGGGGCACGGCGTAGCGCCCCGGCGACTCCTGCGCACGTTCGTGAGGGGGCGGTCTGGTTCCAGGCTGGCGAGGCCTTGCGGCGGCGCGCGGGCGGCTCGCTCGCTGAGCTGCTCTCTCGGCTGCTGCAGGCGGCGTGCCGGGTCTCGGAGTTCGTCCAAGAGTGGGCCTGTGTGCCTGGTGCCACCGCGCTCGCTGTCAGCGCTTGCCGCGCCGCCGAGACCTCGCCGAGGCGGATCAGCTCGCGGGCCCTCTCGCAGCGGCTGCGGAGCTCGTCGTTTTCGTCTGGCGCCCGGCCCCGTCGTGCCTCGGGCGCCCTGTTCTGCCCGTTCGCATCTCGCTCGGGCGGCCTGCGCGGCAGGCCCGGCTGTGCTTCTGTCAGGCGCTGCGCCCAGTCTCCAGCCTCGAGGCGGGTGAACCTCTCCAAGAGTTGCTCCTTGGGGGTCCTTTGCTGCCCCGCCTCTCTCCTCAAGAGCAGTCGTGGGAGCAGGAGGAACAGCTTCCACCCTCTCGCTGCTCCTGTCTCGTCTGCTTTGTCCTCTCGGATCAGCTCCAGAGCTTTGCGCAAGGCGTTGCGGAACGGCCCCCGCACGAACGCCAGCGCCCGTTGGAGGGTTGGCACGCGGGCCCGGAGCACACATGCTGCGTCTGTCGCGTCCAGCGCTTCCCTCTCTGCCGCCGTCACGCGGACGCGGGCGCGGGCGGGGCGGCGCTCCAAGGGCGCCCGGGGAGGAGCATCTCGTCCCGCGCCCCCGTCTCGGCGGGGCTGGGCCGGCGGCGCGGGCAGCGCGGGTCCAGAGTTGCTGGAGGCGCTGTCCTCAGTGTCCTCCTCGCTCTCGCTGGCGGTGCTGCTGCTCGGGCTGCCTCCCCCCCCTCATCCCCCTCCTCTGGTGCCTTTTCCTCCTCGGCTGTCTCTTTCGGCGAGGGCGGGGCGCTGCGTAGCCGTTGCTTTGGCCTCGCGCCGCCAGGCACACTTTGTGCGCCCCGCCTTTTTTTTTTTTTTTTTTTTTTTTTTTTTTTTTTTTTTTTTTTTTTTTTTTTTTTTTATTAAAAAAAAAAAAAAAAAAAAAAAAAAAAAAAAAAAAAAAAAAAAAAAAAAAAAAAAAAAAAAAAAAAAAAAAAACGCCGGCTGCGTCGCCCGCGCCCCGGCGAGATCGGGCCGGGGGGCGGGGGGGGCGCTGGCGGTACGCAGCCACCGGCTGCCCGCGCTCCTGTGGTCCGAGCAGGGGGTGACGCCAGTGGCGAGGAGGCCGCCGCTGCCTCGTTATTTGCTTGCTTGCTTTGCGGCGCGGCGGGGGGCAGACAGGGGCGTGAGAGACCGCTTCCTCTGCTGCGCCAGTGGCACGCTCTGGGGCCGACAGCGTCGGGGCGCGGCGCGCGGCCGCGCGCGGACCTTGACGCCCCAGCGTACGAAAACTGAAACTGGTGACCCATCCGTTGGCGATGTCTGGGGGCGCTTCGGGAGGTGCTGACACATCCACGACTTGGTCGTGTTGGGCGGGCGGCGGCAGCTTTTGTTCTTGGAATTACTGACGAGTTCCCGTGCGTGTTCGGCCCTTATCCTGGCGACGGCCAGGCGGTTGCGCGCGGAGAGTTATACATGCTGGACGTGTCAATTCGTTGCTCGACGGGCCCAACGCCTTACAATACCGTCAATGAACAAGACGGTGGTGGGCCCGAGCCTATGACCACCCGGTGGGCCCCGATGCAGACATATGGCGCGCTATCAAGAAGCACCTCCAGGTTCGAGCCAGCTCAGAGACCGGTGTTCCCCAAAATCGTTCACACCTTGATGGGCGACAGTTTGTCGAGATGCAGGTTCCTCCGTGGATGGTGGCAGGCAATGTTTTGTTGTCGACGTTCTAGCGGGTGTCGAAGCTCGCGAGGGCGGGTCCCTGAACACCAGCGAGCTCGAGTCCTACAGGTGGAGGCGGGTGCACGACGTGTTCGGCTCAGGCTTTCGCTGATCTGCCTCCAGACTGGCGTCAGCGGGGGCAAGTGGAAAAGGTCTTCTGAGGCCCATGCCTTGCCGCCTCCCCCCCGTCCTCGTGCTCAGGCCTTGATGTGTCCAGCTCACACCGTCGATAGCAGTGGAAAACATGTCTGGTGCGGGAGCTCTTCCTCGGATGCTAAATTGAAAAATGCGTTGGCTCGGGGCCCCTTTTTTGGTTTAGTTTCTCTGGTGAAATTTCTGCCCTGCCCAGGGGTCGGATTTTGAATCTCGCGGGGGTGTGGTCCAGTTCCCACAGCAGGAGACTCCATGAATCTCAGAAGTTTGGTTATGTGGCAGTTGCGGGTCCATCGGTTCGGCTCTGCTCAGCAAGCTGGCGGGGGTCTGCCTCCCACCCACCTCCACAGGCAAGGAACACCTCCGTCGTTTAGAGAGAGAGACCTGCCGCCTAAGGTGCTCAGCAAAGCTGAGCAGGCGGCCAGGGCGTGATTAAATATAGACTCGCTTCGCGACCGCTCTCATCCTCATCTTCCTCCTCTTCCTCATCATCAACAACGACAACAATCACCATCACAGCCACAACAATCATGATCCTGATACTGATCATGATCAGGATCGTCAAATCACCACCACCAACACCATCAGCATCAGCATCATGAGCATCATCAGCCTGATGATCCCTATCACCACCATCATCATCATCATCATCATCATCATCATCATCACCAGCATCATCACTATCATCGTCATCACCATCATCATCATTATCATCATCATCATCACCACCACCATCATCATCATCATCATCATCATCAGCATCATCATCATCATCATCATCAGCATCATCATCATCATCATCATCATCATCATCATCATCATCATTATCATCATCATCCTATTATTCTCAGTGCTAATCATCATCAGTATCATCAGCATAATCACCATAGACACCATCATCACCATCATAACCAGCAGCACCAACATCAGCACCAGCATCAGCAACAGCATCATCATCACCATCATCATCAGCATCATCATCAGCATCGTCATCCTCATCCTCCTCCTCATCATCATCATCAACATCATCATCCTCATCCTTATCCCCATCCTCATCCGCATCATCATCATCATCATCACCACCATCATCATCCCCATCGTATGAGCAACGCCCTGGGCCAGCCCGTGAAGCGAACGCCGACGCCAGAAGACATGGCCCAATGTGCGCGAGGCCACACCGACGGCATGAGAAGGACCACCTTACTTAGCGCCCTGGTCAACCCTGCCATGTCGCCAGACGGACAGCGAGGGACCGCGCGCTGGCAACACTGGCAAGGCACTTCGGGGAACTCGGACTTCGAAACACTATGCACCAACCGTCGTGTCTTCATAAAGCACGTGTGAAAACGATGCCATTGAAGCCTTGAAGACAAAAGCCACCGTGCGACGATCAGAACCGAAATGCCGAGAGTCAGCCGAAGCCAACCAGAGCCACGCTCACAGAGAGACTGCAAAGCACACGCGAAGGTGCGAACCACATCTGATCTTGCAATGTGCTGTTTGGATCACCCGCCGACTGAAGAGAGCCACATCAGCTTCGCGCTCCACGGTTCGCTGCCGCTAGCCTTACCTCGCCTTTAGTTGCAAACTCGTTCGGGGCGGGGCGCGACTTATCAAGAACGGCGCGCGGGTCCAAGCCTCGAGGCGGCAAAATAGCAGAGCGGCCCACAGCAACGCCAGGCCTGGAAGTTGCGAGCTGAACCAGCAAGAACCCAGCCAGCGGGCGCACAACACCGCACCCCCAGTAGGGCGCCTGCCTTTTGCACTGTCCGAAGCAACTTCGCGGCGCGTGAACGTGGGCTCGGCGCGGCAAACGCGCAGTAGCACGGCTAGCAAAGCGAATGCACAGGAACAACAAACGTACGTGGGCAGCTAGATGAAGCATGCGTTTGGTGAGCCGTGAAGTGCGCCTAGTGTGAAGCTTCTTTGGCCGCCTCTGAATTGCAAAACCTTGGTTGCTAACCCGACCTCCCTGTCTGAAAAACCTTGTCCCTGACGGGACCGAACAGGGCAGACGCTCAGATCTACCCCTCCGAACTCCTCACCCCTCCCCTACACTCAGGGAGACATAAGACTCGGGTACGGGGGACTCGGGTTGGCCTGACGAGGCCATCATAAAAAGGACGAGACCCAATCTGAAATTCGACGCGGGCCCCCTCTGCAGACTTCCGCATCCCACGAAAACTGAACCGTCACAATCCAGGACGCGCTCGCCAGGAAACGTCGGCACACCCGAGCTCCGGCTTGCTCGAGCCTTACTGATGGGCGTGTTTTCCACCACCACCACCATAAGTTGGAGGGGGGGAGGAGGAGGAGGACGAGGAGAAGGAGGACGAAGAAGAGGAGGAGGAGGACCCCCTCCCCCTCCAACTCATGGTGGTGGTGGTGGAAAACAGGCCAATCACTTACGCTTCCCCGACACATCGGCGGCACGACGCGTCGACCCGCCGAGCCGAGCCCGGCGGGGAAGCGCGGCGGGCACGGCACAGAGCGGCGCGCGCCGGGCGGGAACACCCGGTCACGGCGGAGGGAGGGGGCCGGGCGAGGGCACGAAGGCAGGAAGAGGAGGAGCAGTACACCCCGCGAAATGCTTAAGAATTCATGGGTTAAGAAATTCATAGTCTCAGAACTTGAATCAAAAAACCCAACATTTCTTTTAAATCTTAAGATTTACATTGAAACGTTAAGAATGATCGAGCCTCTGGCCGAAAACTTAAGTTTTCTTAAGCATCGCCTAGGGTGTACGGGGATCGTTCCGAAGCAAAGAAGAGACATAATCCGCGGTCCACGTAATTGGATCGGTTGGTGGGGGGTGGGGCGGGGTCTATTCCCGCAAGCGGTGCGCACGTTCAGGGATGGACAGAAGCCCCTTGGGCAAAACGTGGTTCAGTGGAAGCGACCTCGCGCCCAAACCTGGCGGGCGCAAGCCTGAAAAATGACAGCCGCGGCGCCCTCTCGAGAACCGCAAACGGACAATTCACTGATCGACGTGTCGGGGTGGGGGTGCTGTCCACCCCCGACACGTGCTGTTCACCGGTAGATGAGCCACACGCGCTGTGCGCCAGCAGCGCCGCACGCTCTACCCTTTTGGCATCCCGGGGCAACGTCTCTCTCTTGCAGTGGCCGGCGAGGCGGGTGCCAGGCCACGCCGGCACGGGCATACCCGACCGTGACGGGCGCAGCCTCCCCTCCCGCATTCTGCTTAAGTCGGGCATGTCCTCCCGCAGGCAGATTTGCAAGGAAACTGCAACAGAGTCAAACATTGCAAAGAAGACGAACATGAAAGAACATCTGCCCCCAGACCATGTTTTCTCGCCCCCACCCCCAGACTCTTTTTGGGCATTTCCTCCCCGACAGGGGCGTGCCCGACTCAACACTATGCCCCCCGTTCCCTGCACTCTTCTTCTGTATCTGACTACCTACCAGACCACCCCAACCCAACCCGAAGACCCGAATTTCGGGTTGGGGGGGGTACGGGTTCCATATGTGTTTTCTCGATGTTCCCCGACCCACCCCAACTGGAAATGGAGGGCAAATCGAGACCTTCGGGGTGGGTTGGGGTGGTTTGGTGGGTGGTGAGTATCTTCTGCACGCTGACCCCCTTCCGTCGCCAGAAGAGCAACGCACACCGCACGAGCATGAACTCTCGGAAGGCCGCCCGGTTTTCTGGAGAGGCACGGACACTAAGCCGGAAGGCGGCATTCTGCCCCCTGCCGCACATTTTGCCGCG